TGAACTTCCTCCATCCCTGTTATGGCTGATGGATTTTCTCCAGCTCAAATTATTTCCCAGGATCTCTTCTTTAGTTTTATCTGGACAGAGTTTGCAACAGATTAATTCATCATTGAAGAGGAGGATGAGAAATTTCAGCTGCTTCAGATCAGCAGAAGTTGCTGCGATGCAAAAGCCGAGGGGTAGCACAAGATGAGTTCGCAGTGCGTCGGCCATGGTGGGCTGAATCATGGAGATGCTGGCATGTGCAGACCTTAGTCATTTGCAAAGACCCCGAGTGCTCAAGTGCAGATATCTGTGCTGGGCTGCCATTACAGCCACTGGGAACAGTCATCAGAGATAAAAAAGCCACATGAGATCCTGATGGCTTCTCCCATTTCACATCCCCACCTGGCAGAGAACAGTTCATGATGCTCGGCTTTTGGCACATATGTGATCTCTTTGCTCTCCCTGGAAGGTGAGTTCGGAGACTGCAAGGCAGTCACAGGATAGCGTTTCCAATGGCTTGCCCTCAAACAATAAAGTGATTTTCTGCCATCTAGCTATGCATCCATGCAATGCAATGCAATGAATTTCATGGTGCACCATGTCTGGCTTTGAATGTTTTCCTTTTCCAGTACCCAGCTGCAAATGAGTTATCTGAAATCATCATCTCCATGTGCTGCAGCAGCCAAAAAAACCCAACAAAATGTTGCATACCCTAAGAAAAGCATCGAGGACACAGCAGGGGATGTAATTTTGCTGCAATATACAATTCTGGTTCTTCCATGTCTTTTGTCGTGTGTGTAGTGCTGGCCACCACATCTCAGGAAGGGTGTACTGCAACTAGACTGAGTCCAGAGACTGCACAAAGGGCTGGGAGCTTCTGGAAGCTGCTGCCCCAGGGAGGATGGTGGGGCTGATGCCGTCACCTAATTCAAAGAGAAATTAGGCAAAAGTGTGAATAATGTGTCTAAAAGGAGATGCTAAAGGGAATGTGCGTAATGCAAGAAGTCTAGATGCCAGGAGGCTGGAAGCCATCAGATCTGGTCTGGTTTCCATGTTGACCTCTTCTCCCATGCCACTTATGGGGTGGGTGTCATGTAAAAGGTAAAGTCTGATGTGTGACTGAGGGGGGGCCTCCTGTTGAGTCCCCAGGTTCAGAAAGGACCCCCTTGCTTTCTAAACTCCTTTTCAGAAAGGAGCCTTACTGCAGCTAGGTCCAGTCTCAGTCCCAGACTTGGTCAATGGTTTATGTCTAAAGGATTATATATATAGCCACATATATATATAGCCACATATCAGAGTTAACGTTTGCCTGTCAGAGCCCCCAAAGAACTTGCACTGACTCAGTTTTGCAAAGTTGAAAATAATAGAAAGGTTATTAAAATGACAGCTATAAAGAGTTCAGAATTGCCGTTGATAAATGCACTTACTGCAATAGCGCTAATACATGATCATGATTATAAAGATAATGCTAGCAAAATACTATCCCAGGTATTCTCACCAAAAAGGTGAAGTTGCAGTGCTTACCAAGAAGGCGTCCCTATCTTGGGTGGAGCAGAAGGAGCACAGCCCGTCGACTGCCTTTTCGGGGTCTGCAATTTCCTCTCCCCTCCCTGGGGGTAACTTCATCAATTTCCTTTATACCCCAACCTTAGCTGTCCCCTCCCTGGGGGGACATTTAACATGATTTGGGTGGAGAGTTGAGTACTATAGTCATAGATGTTTAGCATGTACTCTTTTTAGCTCATTCTCATATTCAGGGGTGTCAGCTTTAATATTCATTTCACAGATAATGAAGCAAAAGGTCTCACTCGGGGCACTGTGGCCTTCAAGATTCATAGAATCACAGAATCATAGAATGGTTTGGGTCGGAAGGGATCATCTAGTTCCAACCCCCCTGCTGTGGGCAGGGACACCCTCCACTAGACCACTTTGCCCAAAGCCCCATCCAACCTGGCCTTAAACACTTCCAGGGATGGGGCCTCTACAACCTTTCCGGGCAACCTGGGCCAGGGTCTCACCTACCTACCAGGGAAGAATTTCTTCCTAACTTCTAATCTAAATTGAACCTCCTTCAGCTTAAACCCATCCCCCCTTGTCCTGTCACTACACTCCCTGATAAACAGGCCCTCACCATCTTTCCTGTAGGCCCCTTCAGGTACTGGAAAGCCGCAATTAGATCTCCCCGGAGCCGCCTTTTCTCCAGGCTGAACAACCCCAACTCTCTCAGCCTGTCCTCATAGGAGAGGTGCTCCAGCCCTCTGATCAGCTTTGTGGCCTCCTCTGGACTCGCTCCAACAGCTCCATGTCGCTCCTGTACTGGGGCCCCCAGAGATGGACACAGTAATGCAGGTGGGGTCTCACCAGAGTGGAGTAGAGGGGCAGGATCCCCTCCCTCGACCTGCTGGTCACACCTCTTTTGATGCAGCCCAGGACACGGTTGGCTTTCTGGGCTGCAAGCGCACACTGCCAGCTCATGTTGAGCTTCTCATCAATCAACACTCCCAAGTCCTTCTCCTCAGGACTGCTTTCAATCCATTCTCCACCCAGCCTGTAGTCGTGCTTGGGATTGCGCCGACCCACGTGCAGGACCTTGCCCTTGGCCTTGTTAAACTTCATGTGATTCGCATGGGCCCACCTCTCAAGCCTGTCAAGGTCCCCCTGGATGGCATCCCTCCCCACCAGCATGTTGACCAGATTCTGTGTAGAAACCGTCTATCTGTTTATTCCACATCCTCTAGCCAAAACAGGGCCGTCCTGCTGATGTAAGACTCCCTCCTTCAACTGCTTCTCATACCAACCTCAGGGATCTCCATCCACAATGTTTGCATAAGAGGTAAGTGGACACCAATGTTTTTAACCTTTTAGGTGCAATTCCCACAGTGGGTTAGATCGAGCACTTCTCAGACCCAGCAGGAAATATTGTATAACTTACCTTTAGCTCTTAGGAGTTAAAGTGAGCATCATGCATTTCACATCTTGCAGGACGTCACAACCCAGCCCATCATATGCAAGGCTATAGGGATGCAATCTCACTCTGTTCTTCTGGCTTGACAGTTATTGCATGGTGCTTACAGGGCTTCACAAAGAGATGTTGGATCATCCAGGCTCATGTTTTCAGGTTGAAGGGTACTAGTAGCTGTGCAAGCAAATCATGGGGGCAAGATGTCGTGTCTCCAGACTGCGTCATGCCAAGGGCTGCAGTTTAATTACTGCGGGGGTAATGAACGTTCCTGCAGCCCCCAAGCTGATGTTCAGACTAGAGGGAGCTGGAGCTGGGCAGGGAAGCCCTTGGGGCTCCTCTTCTTGGCATGAGCAGTGAATTGAAAACATGGGGGAGCGCTCTTTAGGAAAGGTTTAAACTTTGCAGCCACAAAAGGCCAAAAATTAATGGTCACCTTCCACCGTAAGGCAGTAAGGATTTTATATAGGGGCCAGGCTGTATCCAGCTGAGCAATGTGGACTGTGTGGTGCCAGAAACTGCCCTCTCCAAGTGCCCAGCTCAGCCCTGGCATGCAGGCTCCTGCCAGTGCTGTGTGCTCAGGAAACCCTCCCCTGGGCCATGTTCATTGCTGGGAGCAGCACGGAGCATCCTTTCAGGACTACTTTTTTTTGCTGTGACTCTTTATTTTTGGTTCAGCACAGCCGTGGGAGCCCATGGCCCCGGGGAGCCAGCAGCTCAGCGTGGACTGAATTGGATGTGGCCATTTCCCATCTCACCGTCATAAAGAGGGGTGGTGTGTCCCACGGATGTCTCAGAAATGTTGACGCATGTTGTCCATTGTGCCTGGTGTCATGGGGGCTGCAGGCTGGGTTTGAATGGAGACAGCCCAGGGAAGGGTTTTGAGGAGAGGACTCATCTCTGGAGGGTGGGTGACCTTCCTCCCTGGCCATGAGCTGAGAAGGGAAATGGGCTGCAGGGTCCTTGGCTGTGGTGTCGGGAGGTGCTAAGCTTCCCACTTTGCTCCCTCTGCTAGGTGTGATCATGCCCAGCTCTGTCATCTCTGATGATGGCACAGCCAGGAGCCCACCTGGTCCAGTGTACTGGTCCGAGGGCTCGGCGATGCTCTGCTTTCCTTGCACCAGCCCCAGGGACTGGGCAGGCTCCTTGCCCTGTAGCCATGCCTCCAACCCCAGCCTTGGGATGTGCAAAAACCTGCAGGTCATCCCGGTGGCCCCATCACACCCCACCCTGCTGCCTGCACTGAAAACTCAAATTATAGTACAAACATGGGGATGTTTAGCACAAACCCAGGAGTTTGTACTGAACCATTGCCTGCCTCAGAGATCGGTCTGTAAATTCCCTGAATTCCCTTAAACTCAGGAGGGAGTTTAATGGCTGAGCCTGAAACCTGAGAGTGTTTGCAGCTTAATTTCAGCAGCTACAGCAAGGTTTCTGGACCACCCCCCTCCTTATGCTTTATATTATGATACACTCAGAATACAGGCTGTGCATTTTATATGCACAATGGCTTCAGCAACCTGACTTCAGGACAGACTCCAGCCAGAGCATGTTATTCAATGTACACAGCTCCTCAAAACTCCTTATTTTGGCAGGAGAAAGCAGGCTTCTTGCCCTCCGCAAGCACCCTGGGGGTATCTCTGAATGGCAGGGGTTCGCCTTTGGATACCTGCAAGATGCAGCCTGGCTTTTACCAAGGGTGCAAGCATCCGTAAGTGAGCATTGCAAACCTTCCTGCTGCCGGATCCACAGCCTGGAGCTGGCTGGGGACTGATGAGATGGGAATGAAACGGGGTAGAATCAGCTGTAAAAGGAGGGGGCCTCCTAACAGACATGGCTCTGGTGGTGAGGGGCCACCTAATCCACTTAAAATCAGAGGGCAAAATCCTGGGGACAGCAGGGAGGAGGGTTCAGTGCAGGAGGAGGGATGAGTGCTGGGCAAACACTGTTGCTGCGGAGGAGGGGACAAACCTGCTTTCACCACCCACAGCACCCAGCTCAGCTTGCAGCTCACACTGGGACGGTCACCTGCCCTAAGGCATATGCGACAGACATGGGGGTTTTGGGTTGTTGCTTCCTGTCCCTGAACAGCAACCTGGCTGGCTTCGCCAGATCAGGACTCTTCATCTGCCTGGTGTGCCTCTGCGGTGAGTGGCTCTTGCACGGGGGAAGGAACATCCTCGGAGAAAGAGGGGGTCGGACATCTGCAGGAATGGGGGCACTGGGCTTCAGATGGATGGGACAAAGTCTCCTTTGACCCACCAGCCCTTAAAAGGATAAGAAAGTGGTGGATGGGGAAGGAGACCTCGTTAGCTGGGTAATTATCCTGGCTTCTGCGCTGCTGCCCTTGCACAGAATGGTTGGGAAATGCTTGGACCCTTACCAACCGGTGACAGTCAAGACCACAAATTGCTTATTTGTGTTGGCCAGCTCTTCAGGGCCAGCCAGTTCATTTACAAAGGGCACAAAGTCCTCTTCCCCCAGCGCAAACAGGAACATTTATTTTGCTCTGTGCCCTGCAGACACAAAGATTTTCCTGGAGGTGACCAATTGTGCTGCAAGCAGGATGTGATGGTGCTTTTCTTATTTTTTTTCTGCCTTTGCCTACCTTGTTTTGCATCCCCTTCTCCAGGAGATGCTGCAGCCTCTACCCAGACCCTAACCTGCACATCCCACAGCAGCTCGGCAACTCCAGCGCTTACCACGATGGTGATTAAACACCTCACATCTACCTTTCTTGCAATGCTCTCCTCTAAGATGCAGCTCCACTTGGCTAGGGGCCATGGGCCAATTTGCCATGCAGGCTCCATATCACATCATGCAAATCACTAATTAAAGCACCAGGCTGCACACACACAGACCCCCCTTTCCCATCAGATGCCTGGCATCTACTCCCTACATACAATTTCCCAGAGTTTTCACTCCAGACAGCAACATTTTCCTTTTCCTTGGTTTGGAACACTAAGCAAAAAAGTCTCTGAAGCCCCCTTAAAGATAATTGTCTTTCAAAAGGGGGGGTTTGCAGAGTATTTTCTCTTACTGGATTTGGATTTGTTTGTTTTGTTTGTTTGTCTTTGAGCCAAAGCAGAAGCATGTCCGTGGTTCACAGAAGCCGCTGCCAGTTGCACAGGCTCTGTGAAGCTCGTGCAAGTGACACAGCCTTTGACGGTGCTGCTCTTCCACACTGGACCCTCTCCGTATCTCTCTTGCAGACCTGGCTGCTTCCCAGTGGGTTCCCCTCCGCCTGTCCGATGGCCCACACCACTGTGCCGGCAGGGTCGAGGTCTTCTACGAGAACCAGTGGGGAACGGTGTGTGACGACCACTGGGACTTGGTGGATGCTGGCGTGGTATGCCGGCAGATGGGCTGCGGCACGGCACTGTCAGCCCCCGGGGCCGCGCATTTCAGAGCAGGGCCTGGTCCCATCTGGCTGGATGACGTCAACTGCACAGGGATGGAGGTCGCCCTGTCTTACTGCAAGACAAAGGGCTGGGGAAAGAACAATTGCCACCACGGTGAAGATGCTGGTGTGGTGTGTTCAGGTAATGCCCTGCAGAAATTATGGGATGGGGACGGATGATGACATACGGTCTGAAAAGCAATTCCCTCACAAGGAGTGCTGACCTCTCCAATTTTCCAAAAGCTCCCTGTGGCACAGAGCACCCACAGCCCCAACAAGGGATGGTTTTGTGGCTTGTCCCATCCAAGGGACTGCAGGCTAGGGAGTAATTTGGGAAGCAGGCTTGGAAACATTATCTGTGTTAACTCCACCTTCCTGAGAAGCTGAACTACCTCTGGGGGGATGCACAGGGACCCCCTGTGCATCACACACCTTCTTGGTGAGCAGGACCCCACATGCCTTGCTTCAGCTGCATGTTTTGGGGATGCAGGCAGGGCTAGAGACCCGTTGTGTTTTGCAGGCAGGCACTGTGAGGCACAGCCTTTGGCAGGGGAGAGAACAGCCAGGATGGAACACCCAGATTCCTCACCAACATAAGAGACAGGATGATTTCCATGCCATTGCCTCTGGCAAGCCACAATCAGCTAGAGAGCACTCTTATGGCCACAAACTGTGGGCCTTCAAATGGTTGGAGCTCCAAAAGCTTGGAGCTTTGGTGGCTGATCAAGGTGCAGGCACTCACGGCAATTGGTAGATGCTGGAGCCACCCCTGCCAGAATTGTCCCAACAGACATTGGCACGGGTATGTTGAGCCCTCCCAGTTGGTACCTCCACCTGCAAAGAGGACGTGGTGCCCCATGAATGCCAGGAAAAAAAAAAAAACAACTTCCCTCCTTCTCCTGTCCCAGCATCCTCAGAATCTCCAGCCACAACCTGAAAGACCATGGGTTGCTGGGACCACATGACATCACCCCCATGCCGGTTCTGAGGTGGCTGCATGTTTGTAGTGACTGGGCACAGCCAGCAGCCATGGTGGAGTGTAGAACAGTCCTGCAGAAATGAGCAGAAAGGGGGTTTTGATGGTCTGCCTCTCGTGCCCTCTGTAGACTCATCTGCCCTTCGTATGGACACCCACACCGGTCCTGCAGAGCTCCGCCTGGTGAACGGCCCGAACCGCTGCTCTGGAAGAGTAGAGGTGATGCATGAGCACCAGTGGGGAACTGTGTGTGACGACGACTGGAGCTTCCCCGATGCCAACGTGGTGTGCCAGCAGCTGGGCTGTGGGACAGCGGTCTCAGCCTATAGCGCAGCTCACTTTGGCCAGGGTTCGGGCCCCATTTGGCTGGACAATGTTCAGTGCAGTGGGACTGAAGCTGCCCTGTCCGAATGCCTGGCCAGACCTTGGGGTGTCAACAACTGCGACCATGGAGAAGACGCCAGCGTTGTGTGCACAGGTAACTTTGTGCTTGCAGACCAGGAGAAGTTCAGTGGAGGATGCTCTGCTCTGGGGATTCATACTGGTTTCACAGCTGCAGATGAGGGCTGGGCAGCAGACACATGGGTGGATGGCCTTGTTCCCCTTGTTCCATCTCCTACAACATGCCATGCTGGCACTCTTTAGCACACAGGTCCATGAAAGTAAAGAGCAGTAGGGATAATAGGAAGGGAACAATGCCCTTTGGGCAGCATGCAAAAAAGTGTGCTCACATGGGCATCAAGGAGAGAGGAAAAGCACCAGACCAGGTGCTAGATGCTCCTAGCAACGTCCCAACTCACCATGCTATGGGCACCAGTAGCCCTTGGGCTATGCAAAAATGGGGTGGGGAAGGCCTGAAATCTTTTCGAAGAAGGGGCAGTGGCAGCTGGGGTCTGCAGAAAGTCTCTTTGGGCGCTGCAGCAGCCATGTTAAGGGTTTATGGATGCCCACCTGGGAAGACTGAAAAAAAAAAGAATTGCAGCCATTTATGGTTTGCTTGTGCTCATGTTGAATGTGCACAGGCTCTGAGGTTGCACGTCTGGTTTTGCCCACACCTGAGATGCTTAGCCCCAAACTTTAGATATTCCTCAACAGCTCTTTGTGGACATGGGAACCTCCCTGTGCAAAACACCCTCTGGCATGGGTCTCCATGGGTCACCATGGTGGCAAGAAGAGGCACCTTGTGGGACACCTGGTCTGACGCTCCCCTTGTGTCTTGTATCAGGAGCAGGCACAGTCACCGATACACCAGCTCGTCTGCGCCTGGAGAATGGCCCCAGCCGCTGCGCGGGGCGCGTGGCAGTGTTCTACCACCATCAGTGGGGGACGGTGTGCGACAACGGCTGGAGCCTGGCTGAGGCAGCGGTGGTCTGCTGGCAGCTGGGCTGTGGGACGGCCATCTCAGCCCCGAGGTCGGCTCACTTCGGGCAAGGGTCTGGCCGCATCTGGCTGGATAACGTGAACTGCACGGGGACAGAAGCTGCCCTCTCTGAATGCCAGGCCAGGCCATGGGGATCCAACAGCTGTGACCACCGGGAAGACGCTAGTGTGGTGTGCTCAGGTGATCCACATTGGTTGGGATAAGTACCGAGCAGGTTGGGGTGCAGGATCAGCTCAATCGCGTCCCAGGTAGCCAGGAACTCTATAGTCACCGCTCGTCCCAAGACCCTCCCATAGTCACTGTTGACCCCAGGACCCTTTGTCAGGCTCCAAGCCCCAAGCTCTGGAGCTGCAACCCCTCTTTATCCACCCAATGAGAAGAAAACCCCAAGCCAGCCCTGATGGTGCAGCACATTTCCCAGGCAGCCAGAGGCTGCACGTGTGGAAGGATGCTCTGATTTTCCCACATTAGCACATTGCAAAGTGCAACTGGAGCCGTGGATAAATGTGCCCCTTGCTCCCTTCACAGATGCGGACACTTCGGGGCAGCGCCTGCTGCGGCTGGCAAAAGGCTCGAACAGCTGCCTGGGGAGAGTTGAGGTCCTTCACGACCAGAAGTGGGGGACCGTGTGCGACGACACCTGGGACATCCACGATGCTGCCGTTGTGTGCAAGCAGCTGGGCTGTGGGATGGCACTGTCAGCACCAGGCTCGGCTCATTTTGGGCCAGGGACAGATCCCATCTGGCTGGATGGCGTTCACTGCACGGGAACCGAGTCTGCCCTCACCAAGTGTGAGCTGAGCAACTGGGGAGAGCACAACTGTGGCCACAGCGAGGATGCTGGCGTGGTGTGCTCAGGTAACACCAGGCTGCAGGGAACAGGGCGGATGAGCCAGGATGGTTGGTATCCATCCAAGGGGGGGGCTTAATGGGTGCTGGAGCTGCTGTTCTACCCCAGTGCTGTGCCTGGCTCTCTCCTCTCTGCTCACTCGCTTTCCCCGTCCCCAGCATCAGAGCAGAAGTCAGCTTTCAACCAGCCACTTGGCTTGGAGTTGAGCAAAAGTGCCACCCTGCCTTAGACAGGAGTTGTGCACCTAACATATTGATTTAATATAGACTATGTCCCTCTAGCTCATCAATGAGAGCATCCTGTGATGAGCAAAGCCTTGCTTAAAAAAAAAAATAATCCAGGTGCACCTTTCCTAGACACAGGAGTCCAGTGCCACCGGGTAGGTGAGTGTGGGTCTCCCATGAGCCCTATCTCACAGATACCAGCCCTGTGGTGACGTTGCTTATTAAGGCATCTCATACAAGGGGCTGGAGTAAGGCAATCCATGCCTCATAGCTGGTTGCAGGGGCTGGTGGCTTGCCTTCGGAAGGGCACCAGAAAAAAATGCCCAGGAGCAAGTCAGGAGCTCTCATTGCCACGAAGATAGAGAGGGAGCAAGCATGTGGGTGTGCAAAGCAGTGTGTAGACCCACGGGTGGTTGCATGCAAGCCTCTGGCCACCAACCTCTCGGGCTGTCTGTCCCCCTGCTGTGCATTCGAGCCAGCAACAGTACAGCAGGCACGGGCAGCACATTGCATGCACACCTGTCCCCGTGCATGTGGGTGCCTTGCACACCCCTCTGAGGGTCTCTGCCCCTGTGGGAGGTCAGAGGGGCCAACTCACCGCCTTGCACTCTTCCTTGCAGGCACAAACCCCTTGCAGGTGCGGGTGAAAGATGGTCCCAGTCCCTGCGCGGGGCAGGTGGAGGTGCTCTACAACGCTACCTGGCACGGGGTGTGCAGCAGCGGCTGGGGCTTGCTGGGAAGTG